AACCATGGAATTTGCATGGGATTCCTGGTGATGGTTATTACACTGAAGTGGAAATTGGGACTCCACCACAGAAGGTTTGTCAATTGTCTTTTTTATGACATATAGATCTACTGTAAAATCTTTCTCTGTCTCTCTCTTTCTCTGTCTCTCTCTTTCTCTGTCTCTCTTTTTTCTCTGTCTCTCTCTTTCTCTGTCTCTCTCTTTCTCTGTCTTTCTCTTTCTGTCTCTCTCTTTCTCTTTCTGTCTCTCTCTTTTCTCTGTCTCTCTCTTTTCTCTGTCTCTCTCTTTCTCTGTCTCTCTCTTTTCTCTGTCTCTCTCTTTCTCTGTCTCTCTCTTTCTCTGTCTCTCTCTTTCTCTGTATCTCTCTTTCTCTGTCTCTCTCTTTCTCTGTCTCTCTCTTTCTCTGTCTCTCCCTTTCTCTGTCTCTCTCTTTCTCTGTCTCTCTCTTTTCTCTGTCTTTCTCTTTCTCTGTCTCTCTCTTTCTCTGTCTCTCTCTTTCTCTGTCTCTCTCTTTTCTCTTTCTCTCTCTTTCTCTGTCTCTCTCTTTCTCTGTCTCTCTCTTTCTCTGTCTCTCTCTTTCTCTCTCTCTCTCTTTCTCTCTTTCTCTCTCTCTCTCTCTCTCTCTCTCTCTCTCTCTCTCTCTCTCTCTCTCTCTCTCTCTCTCTCTCTCTCTCTCTCTCTTTCACTCTCACTCTCTCTCTCTCTCTCTCTCTCTCTCTCTCTCTCTCTCTCTCTCTCTCTCTCTCTCTCACTCTCTGTCACTGTCTCATTTGTCAAATCTATTTTACATCATAAAATGTGCTTGGAAGGTAGGTGTTTTGTAATGAGGTAGGTACTATATTATAGATTTTTGTTTTCTAATTTTATTTATGAAGTTGAGCATTTTGGAGTATCTCCTTATGGATAGGGGGAAAGTCTTTTTTTCTCTGTCTTTCCCTTTCATTTTTCAATACTTTTAGCATGAATATGAATTAAATTGTGCAAACATGGTCTTTAATGATCTTTGGAGTGCAGTTGTCATGGTGCCTCTTGTCCAGGTTTTCTGAGCATACAGAGTACTGTGCACACTCATTTATCATGCACCCTTCCCTCGGTTAATGACAGTAAAAAAATATTACAGTAATTTTGGCTTTCAGTTCAATCTTTTGGTGGACACTGGTAGCAGTAATCTGGCAATAGCAGGCGCACCCCATGAAGAACTCGAGAGTTACTACGTCCATCAGAGGTCCTCGTCATATGTTGACCTCAGCAAGGATGTCAAAGTGGTGTACACCCAGGCAAGTGCAAAAATTTCAGTAGAATGCTACCTTCTCTGTAGCATGAGAGCAGTGTTGGGTAACATCAAGTAAAGATTTCTGAGAAAGTTGGTATAAAATAATCTCATAAATTACTGTATGATTTTTAACTTTGTATTTTTATTTTTTTGCTCATACATCTCTTTTTCCTTTTTCTTATGTCATATATATTGTATGATTTTTTTTTATCTATGATATGATATGATATATTTTTGCTAAGACCTTTTTATTTACATGTTCATCCAAGTAAATGGAAAATTGATTTTTATGTGAGTAAAGTCAACCTGAGGATGGATTAGAATTTTGAGCTTGAAATTAATAACCAAAATATAAGTAATTGTCTCACTTCTCTAGATTTATGTTCTTCCTTTACCCAGATCATTTTCTCCAGTTAATGATTATACTTTTACCCTATGTTCAAAGTACCTCCATAAGGATAAATTGAGATTTAATGTTGTTATAAAAAGAGGAAGAACAAAATTGGTATCAAAGGAGAACGTTTGAGAAGAAGTGTTTCACTAACAGAGCTATATATAACTTGAATATCAATAACTTTATATTATAATAATAATATTATAATAATATACTAATTGCATGATCTTTTACAGGGTAGTTGGCAAGGGCACTTAGGCCGTGATTTGGTCTCGTTTCCAAAACTTCCGAACACAGAGCCACTGGTCACCGATCTGGCTCTCATTACATCCTCGGACAACTTTTATGTTAATAATTCCCATTGGCAGGTAATATTGCTGCTATGTCTTTTTGTTGCAGATTTTTTTGTTTGTCTTATCGATAAAGAGAATCTGGGGTGTAAAGGATAAATTTGAAGGGTTGATAAGGAAAGATATAGGTATTTTGAACATATGTATTATATATTAGTTGTTTTAACATCTGTTATTATTTTCTTGTATGTACATTAGTAATTTTAGAATCAAAAGCTTTACTGATAAAACATCTTAACCCAATGCCAACGAGCATGAAGTGTACATACGTGCTATACCCACTGTGCGTACTCGTTTGATTGTTTTTACACATAGATGGCTACACTTGTACTAAGTTACCAATGTGACTTAGTACAGTTACGAGTACTGCCTGTCTCACCTGTTTACTCTTTTCCTTGATTTACAAAAATATTTACTTTATCTTATTTTGCTGTTACTAATGTTTATAACATTATAGTAATTATAATGTTTATAATAAAAATAACACCATCGATATTCATAGCACTTGTAAAAAATACATTTTTCCCACCAATTCAAATCACCTAAGGTCACAAGTTCTATTAATTGACTCCTTTGTGACTAAGCATTAGCAGAGCCATCTATGTGCAGAGACATTTCACTAAAATATAGAAAACGAGCACAGCATTTTCCCCATTTTTTATTCATTTTCCCTGGCGAGATTGGGTTAAAGATATGATTCCAGTCTTCACTAATCTTCCCTCATCAGATTTGAAAAGTCGCTGGGTAAACAAATTCCCTGGAGATGAAGTGTGTAACTAATACGAATGCCATTCTTTTTTAGGGTATCATAGGCCTGGCATTTGCGGCCCTAGCTCAGCCAAAAGGTGACGTCGTTCCATGGTTTGACGGCCTCACTGCCAAAAACCACACAGCTAACATTTTCACTGTCCAGTTGTGTGGGCCCTTCAGACAAGGAAACGTCACTCGCCACCAAGGAAAGCTTTACATTGGTGAGAATTTGTATGATGTTCAACTAACATATTATACAAGCTTGAGTATATGTGCTAAGGAAGAATTCAAGATTTCTTTGGTGTTTTTGTAAGGTTTTAAATGACTGCAGAACCCAGTTGTTGTTGTGTAGTGCCTGATTTCTTTGTTGCTGTTTTTGTTTTTATTTTATTTTTTATTATTATTATTTTTTAATATTATTTTCATTGATATTTTATTATTATTATTATTATCAACATTGACCCAGTGCTGCAGGGAACTTGTAAAGCTCACAGTAGTTTTGTTTTGTGAGCTCTGTTTATGCATAGATGGGGTCCAGCAATGCTGTTATTATTATTATTGACATTATGGTTATTGTTATATCTTAACATAACTAATAACAATATAGAATAAAAAAGAATATTTCTGAAAATCAAGGAAAGTGGTAAGCAAAATGGATTTGTAGGACCAGTATTTGACTCCTTGGTGACTAAGTTCTTGTAGAGCTTTTTAGGTCATTAGGCCTTGGAATAACATCTTAATGCTGCGAACTTCTCTTCTAGGATCTGATGCCGGTGATTGTCCCGCACCGTCAGTCACAAGCCCAATAAGAAGGCCGTGGTTTTACGAGGTCCTTGTCGTTGCCATGGCCATAGGCAAGAAAGTCTTAGACATACCATGTGTCAAGTACAACACTGCCAGCAGCATTGTTGACTCTGGCACATCCAACCTTCGATTACCCTCTGAGGTATATACTTTTGATTTTATTGATGTTTTTTTCTAAAATGCTCCACAGCCTATCCATCCACCCAGCCACTTTTATTTCTTTATTTATTTATATATAATTTAGATAGGTGAAAAATATTGTTGCAAGTTGGTCATCCACAGTAGGAGGTGACTGTATAACAAGACAGGAAGGGCCAAGTGATGGGATAGTGGGTGTATGACAGTATGAAAGGAGTGTAGAGAGAGGATTGGAAAAGAGAAGCCACTCAGACACAAGAAGAACCATTGAAGGGGGATTGAAGGAGGTATAGAGAAAGGGGGAGAATAGCTCTTTGTGGCCTTGAGGCTGGAACATAGATGTTAAAAATACCAGTTTACCCTCACTGCAACCCGCTCACACCAAAAATGAGGATTGATTTCTTTATGCTCAGTTGAGGTGGCTTGGACCCTAGGGGTTGTGGTAAATGTTTTATGGAATGAAGTGTTAGAGTCTGATAGCTTGATATAGCATGATTATGTCTATTTGGGTGTACATTTCCTTTTCTCTTTCTTTGTTTGACATGGAAGCTCATCTTCATCTTAGGATCATTATATAAATTTTATATATACAGATAGTCCCCTACTTAAGAACATTCTACTTATGAACATTCCATACATACAAGCAAAATTTTTTAATACTAAAGTCAAAAAGTCTGCCACGCTGTGGCACTGCCGCGCTCACTCAGCTGTGCACATCACTCTCCGCAGTCACCACTACAATATATTTTCTTTTTGAATAATTTATGTTTCTACAGTTGTATGAATCACCATCAAATAATATTAAAAGCATTACATATTACAGGTATTGGGATTTATTTACAGGTATTCTTAATGTAAACAAAACTTTAAAACAATGGGAAAAAAGGTAATGGAGACCCAACTTTCGACATACAAACAAATCGACTTACAAACAGCCTCTCAGGCCCCATTATGTTCTTAAGTTGGGGACTTACTGTATATATCTTTCTGTTACTTAGAACACCTTATTAAAAAAAGACTATACATCTTTCTGTTATCAATGTCATACACATACCAAAATTATCCCCAAAATAAATCACTAAATATCTTCATTGCACTAACAACCTACAGGTTTTCAAAGCCGTTCTCTCAGAGTTACGCAGACAAACATCAGCAACAGAGCCCCCTCTGCCAGAAGATTTTTGGTCTGGGAGTGAGGAGATCTGCTGGCAGCCAGAGCACCAGGTGAATATCAGAGAGATAGTCCGATTAGTCCGAGTTAAAGGTTGTTTTGTTGTCTAAAAGTTTGGGTATATTATGATCATATTAATTTCCAAAAAGTTCTTGATACCATTAAAGATAATGAGAATGTCTTTTATTATTATTCTTTTCTTTTTTCTTTATCCCTTTTTTTTCTTAACCCATTCGCCACATGTGGCAAGAATAGATGCCATACCCACTTTGATACACGTTTATTTATTGTATTTACACATAGATGGCTCCACAAGTTTTTAATCACCAAATAGCCAGTTATCAAGAACTACCTATTTTACCTGTTTACCCTTTTCCTTCACTTTAGGAAAGGGTTTTTTGTATCATTTCATAGTTAAAAATATTCTAATGACAATTCAATAAGCATAACATCAATAACAATAATAATAGTATTGAAAACAATGGTATTAGTTTTCCCGCCAGTTCAATGAATGGGAAAATCAGAGTCGGTAACTAGGGTCTACTGATAGACTCCTTGCCGGCTGAGCACATGTGGAGCCATCTGTATGTAACAAAATTCACCAAAAACTACAGGGGACCGAACATAATTCCGTGGCGAATGGGTTAAGTATGTCTGCAGGGATTATTTAAAAGTTAAATGTAGAGACAGTGTTGGATGACACATAATACTATGATAACCAAGAATTTGATAGACATTTTTTTTTATTAGTGATATAATTTTTTTTTTCTTTTTTTCTTGTATGTCATATTGTCACAAGGAGGTTTTAGCTTAGAAAGTTTTAGTTTAGGCATTCCATCAAAAAAAAGGACAATATATGATGATAGTTAAAATAACTGGTAGCTAATGAATAAGTAAAAAAATATATTACTTTTTGTAACTGTTTTAGGTGATTATTTAATGACATTTGAGTTATTCATTGTTGTTATTATTCATTATCATTATCATTATTATTATTATCATTATTATTATTGTTATTATTATTATTCATTATCATTATCATTATTATTATTGTTATTATTTCTTCATTTTTGACAGCAATATAACCACTGTCTCCTTTTTTGTCAGGTATGGGATGCCTTTCCAAACATAACAATCCATCTGGCCCACAGTAACAGCTCAGCCTTCACCATCGCCATTCCACCATTGTCGTACCTCAGGCCAGCTCTAGACATTTCCGAAACTGGCGATTGCTGGGTACTGGGCATCGAGGAGTCACACACAGGCACAGTGCTAGGTGAGACAACCACAACAAAGAGGTGGAGCTTTTTCTCTCTCTCTCTCTCTTTCTTTCTTTCATTCTATTTTTTTTTTCTCTCTCTCTCTTCTCTTTCTTCTCTTCTCTTCTCTTCTCTTCTCTTCTCTTCTCTTCTCTTCTCTTCTCTTTTCTCTTCTCTCCTCCTCTCCTCCTCTTCTCCTCTCCTCTTCTCCTCTCCTCTCCTCTTTTCTTCTCTTCTCTTTTCTTCTTCTTCTTCTTCTTCTTCTTCTTCTTCTTCTTTCTCTTTTGAAAGAAAGAGGGTTACTTAGTTCTTTTGGTTTGTTTATTTAGGAGTTGATATTGATAACCTTAGATATTTGGGAATGTGTAGGAAATTGAGCTTTCACTATAACTTTTTTGTTCTAATTTTCTTACTTTATATACATAGGTTTTACTGTATTTGTTGTACCCAAGGAATACCATAAGTATACTTAGACAGTTGCTTGAATTTCAAATCTCCATTACCTTTTTGGAACTGAACAGTCTATGTAAATTTTTTGATCTGGGAAATTTAAGTATTTTTTTTTTTTTTATTTGTTTACAGCCTTAATTTCCTTCTCAGAGTAGTATAAAAAAAACCCATCATGACTTCTTTCATTTTCTGCACAATTTTTTCCATTTATCTGCCTTTTTAATAATCCCAACCTTGATGCACTATATAAACAAACGGAAGCCTCTCAATTTCCTCTCATTTTCAGGCGCTGTCATTTTGGAAGGACTCTGTGTAACCTTTGACCGCGCTCGTGCCACAGTTGGGTTTGCTGAATCATCATGTGGACCAGATGTGAAACTGAGCAGTGTTTACAATGGATCAGGTATATATGTCTCTCTGTGCTCGAAAGTAATTGAAGTCGACTTGAAAGGTCCTTTTTTTTAATTTTTACAGAGTTTAGTTCAAAACAAAGAGTGAGCTAGGAATTTTTTTCCTTTTCTTTTCTTTTCTTTTCTTTTCTTTTTCTTTCTTCAAAACTAAAGAGAGAGCTGATTCTCCGCTGGATATTAAACCTCTCTATAAGTTTCTGGTTTTATTCACGTCAAGCATTTGAAATAAAGCCTATCCCTTTACTCAACAAAAAGACATTTGAGTCGGAAAGAAACTATTTGGTGTCTCCTTGTTGTGAACATGGCATAACCAGTCAAACATTTACTAAATGCAATTTTGTTGGCACTCATTAATGGGGTTATATGTGATTAGTTCATATTTTTTTTAAGTTAATGTATTTATCTAAAAGATTTATACAAAAACAGAAATAAAGTAAGACCAAAGTTCATAATACATGTTTTTGGCATTAGTGGGTTAAAGGTATATGAAGTAAAGACATATGTACACTGTGTGTATATATATATATATATATAAATATATATATATATATATATATATATATATATATATATATATATATATATATATATATATATATATATATATATATATATATATATATGTAACTGCATATATATATTTTAGAAGAATGTAACACAAATGATAATATCTTGCTGATTTGTATATTTCTCTTTGAAAATCCCACAGCAAGATCTTGAATTACATGATAGAGAGTAGGCTTGCTGTAGAGTTAGTGATATGTATTGTCATATTTCTATTGAGTATAGTTTATAATATGCAGGAGTTATGTCACTTTGTATCCCTTCAGATCTAGTGAAAAGTGAAAATTTACTGCTGATTCATAAAAAAAGAATGAGAAATTATAAATTGATTCTAAATTGTTCTCCTAACTGATTCTAACTCTTCAGACTGGCATTCATGTGTTTACATGCCAAGTACGGTGGATGGGCTGACACTCGCCTCCTACATCATGCTGGGACTGTTGGCACTCCTCTCAGTGCCGCTGGTGCTCGCTGCTCTACGCTGGGCCTGGAGGTCATTTGTAGTGCCAAGGCTCAACCCAGAAGTGCCGTTCCTGACCCTGGACGAGACCAACACCTGAGACACCTGAGCATTAGGGGTTTGGCATTGTATTTCTTGATGTTTTGGTGTTCAGTCACTGGTTCAGAGCTGGAAGCCAGGTGTCTACGTGCGCACGTTTGGAAAGTCGTGAGTTTTCTGCCGCGGTAAATTTTGAAAGGGTTAGGGGAAGAAAGTGATGTTCTGTCATTTGTTATTGCGGGGATTTTGTTGTCTTGCAATAGGATTTTTTTTTATGTGCTAAGTGAGTAAAGAGTAAACGACTTAATGCCATTCCATATCATATGTATGTTTCGCCAAGACAAACAAACAAAATTAAGATAATCAGTCATGATTTTTAGTCTACTGTGTTGGTGCTATTGTCAGTTGCATTTACATTGAAATCATCACCTCAATTTACAGTACTGTAAGTGCCCAAAAATGTACATTTACATTTATGAATATACGAAGTACATGGTAACACAAAACCAGATAATGGTCTTTGGAAGTGTGTATATAGTCTGATTTTTTTTTTTCTATAATTAATGTCTTCTAGAATAATACTTTGAAGTCACATCCATATAGAATGTTATATGAGTGTGAAATATTGATTTTTGTATTGTTAGATTCTAAAGGTTAGAGCAATCTAGGTAATATAGCTGTTTTTTGTGATTGAACTGCCTTGACTTAAAAGTATCTTAAATATCATTGTGTGTTATCTTTTTATGGAATGTTGGTAATTAATAATATGTAATTGAGTGTATATATGTGTGTGTGTGTATATATATATATATATATATATATATATATATATATATATATATATATATATATATATATATATATATATATATATATATACATATATATATATATATATATATATATATATATATATATATATATATATATATATATATATATATATATATATATATATATATATATATATATATATATATGTAAACTCATCCTGTCAAGTATGACTTAAAGAAATTATTAGATGCACTCTTTCTGTGTTTTCTCAGAGTTAGCTAAGTTAGCAAAATTTCCAGAGTCTTCCCTTGAATTCTATTTCTTCAATTTTCTATTCATATGTGGAAAACTTTCATTCTCTGATATAATACAGGATAAATCTTCCTCTTGTACAATAGAACAGCTTATCCTTTTTATAGAGTCTTGTCATGCATGTTACATAGCTTTGATAATCTCTTACAAATTGTGTGATTAAGAAACGGAGGGTTTGATATGTATCATAAAGTAAGATTGCAGCTATAGTATGCAGTCCTGTTGCTGTAGAGCATACAGGAGAAAAAGTGGTTTGGTGGTAAGGAAAAGTGGGAAAATATGTGAAAATGAAAATAATAGCTGCCCTAGGGGTTTCTGCTAGCTATACAATTTCCTAAATGAGAAAAAAAAATCAGTTCTTTAAAGTCTGGTTAACTTCATGATGCAGCACATTAATTTTGTCAGTATGTCATTAACTTCAGTGTTTATACTGTCTATACAATTCTCTTTGAAGCATCACTTTATTATGCATATTAGGATTAAAATTTGTAAGGTATATTTTGACATCATATCTCATGAAATACAGAGGAGTTAAGAGAAAGAACTACAGTTTTGATGAAGCATTATAAGGTTTAAACTACAGGTAATATCACTTTTTACAATTAATATTATAGGGATAAGCAAGAAATGTTGACAAGGCTGAATGTCATTTTATAATAATGCTTGATCAGTGCTTTAAACTGATGGATGTTTGGAATGCTTTTTCATGGTATCAAATCTCATCTTGAAATGTTTGCCTTATAATAAAGTAGATAACTTCATGCTAAGAGAAAAGAAAATAACCTCCACACATAAAGTTATATTTCTTTCTGTATCTTTTTTTAATAAGACATCCAGAATCTCATAGTACAATGTTTTCTAGGGAAGTGCATGAGTGTCATGGTACAGCTGGTATTAGCCAGTGGTGCTGGGAAGTAATTGGAGCACAATGCCCTCTGTGCTGGAGCTGATTTCAAGGTCACATGCAAAAGCCAAGAATAAGAAGTGTGGGTTGGCATTTTTTTCTCCATAGGCTTTGATCCTAAACAAGCCAGTCATTGTTTTACAATGAAAACATAAAAAAATAGGGTTTATGCTGACTATGTAAGGCTGTGGTGCAGGAACTAGCACTGGATAAACCATAAAACCCAGCACCTGTTTAGTGCAGAACTCAGAACACCCTCCATTATCATGACATGTATTGATGCCATATGGAATTAAGGCCCTCTCTTGCTGTGGCATATATAGATGCCATCCACACAACTGAGTTAGATTGAGGTAATTAACATTATTTTGATGTTAGCGTGTATTACTGGGCATTAGGACAAAATCTTACAAAGAGTCTTAGTGTCAAACCATAGTCATTGTGACAAATGTAAAAAAAAAGGTATTAATGAAAATTAATGTCTTCACAATACAAGAGATGCATTTATCTCTTATATTGTGAAGATATTAATTCTCATTCACACCTTTTATATCTTTGTGTCAACCTTTTGTACTGGATATATACGAAAAGATGCTGGAGAACTGTTAATTCTTGACTAAAAAAAGAATTAAACATTTGCCACTAGAATGTTGATTGCGTCACTGTTGATAGTCACATATATATAGAGCCTTTAGATACATGTTTATGAATTTTGGTCAACTCTTTATGATATTAGGTAAAATTTTTAAAACTTTGGTCATTCAGATCACTCAATATAGATGCCTTATTTTTCATACTCAGAATGTATAGTATCTGCCTCTCAGTGCCTTTAATGCTGCTTGAGAAGAAGTAGATTTTTTTTAGTATGAGTAAGTACAGGACAAAGAAAAAAAAATGTTATCAGAAGACTGTAGTAAAAGATGATTAGATATTTTTGTAGAGGTTATGCTGAGCTTTTGTTATTGCATTGATTTCAAGGTGTTCAGTGCCATTAGACTTCACTAGGGTTAATTTGCCTTTAAAAGGAAATATTTTACTAATGGTATTCTAACATATCCCATCCAGCCAGGTATCTGTTAGTGCTTGGATGGAAGAGTCAGAAGCATTGAAAGAAGGCAAGTGTTCACCTTTTAAAAAGTGTGTGTGTGTATGTGTGTGTGTGTGTGCGTGAGCATCTGCATACACACACACACACACACACACACACACACACACACACACACACACACACACACACACACACACACACACACACACACACACACACACACACACTCACTCTCTCTCTCTCTTAGGCCTTTTCTTCTTTGTTGTACACTTCAGCCCTTCCATGTTTATTCTCTTCTTTTTCATTATCCACAAAATAACAAAAAGTGCTATAAAAGAAAATCAGTGCTAAAATGGTAGCTTACTCTGTATCCACCTGTATAGATTTTGTATAGTGAATTATTGTGTATTTATAGCTTTCCTCAGTAAATCTTTTCCTTATGAGTAGCACAGTTAGGCGTTGGATTGCCTCTTCGTCAGGACCGAAATGCAGTTAACAGCCTGTAGTTTGTGTTTTTGTATGGAAGTTTGATTTAGGTGAATTTTGCTTTGTGATGTTAAGTGTATGTTATTTTTTTCTTTTTCTTTTTCTTTTCTTTCTTTCTTTTCTTTTTTTTCTTTTCTTTCTTTCTTTCTTTCTTTTCTTCTTCTTATACCTCTTTTCCTCTTCTTCTTCTTCTTCTTCTTCTTCTTCTTCTTTTTTGTAAAGATGGTATTTTGTTAATTCATATGGTGGACAAAAAGGTAAATGAAAACTACAGGAAGATATAGACAGGTTAGTAGAGCCATCACAAAAGAACTCAGATGTCTTCCTCTAAATATCAGATACCAGAAAACTGTTATTTGTGTAACACAGGAAACTCAGAGTATTGGCGCTTGGCCTTTTCTCTGGGATTAAGTGTTTTACCTTGTCAAATGAGAGTTAGATAATTTTGCCAGTTAAAGATCTGTAAGCTAATGGAACTTTTGAATATACATGTTTACACATTAGGTAGAGGAAATGTCCTTACTCAAAATTTATTATATTTAATGTATTTTCATTATGTTTGAAATTGGGACTGTTTCATGATACCAAGAGAAATAGTCAGTAAATGATAACCACTACTTAGATTAGACAGTAATCTAATTTAAAGGATTCACACATACACATGCACATACATGCACATGCACACATATGCATGTACGCATTAATGCACATGCATGTACACGTTAATGCACACACATGCACATACACATACACACACATCCACATGCACATACACACACATCCACATGCACACACATCCACATGCACGCACACACACGCACGCACACACACTTGCGCACGCACACACATACATACACACACATTTACATATAATGTTTATCATTTCATTGTTTCTGATAGGGGGAAAAAATGTCAAGAGAGACCAAATGATTTATTTTGAACTGCTGAAGCAGGACATGTAAATTTATGGTATTTGGTGGTTAAAATGGGAACTTCAGATTGTACATACATTTCTTGGTGAAGAAAACAATATGGTTTTATATATTTGTGAATTCCCTGCATGATTGTATGAATGTTTTTTGTGTTTACTGTGTTAACTGTGATCATATCATTCACAAACATTATACATTGTATCAAAATTGTGTATATTTTGCCATGCATCACAACTGTTTTTTCAGTCATGTTGATATTTTCCTAGTACAATAACCTAAGTGTTAGATATTAATCTCTGTTATCTTCTTTCTTCTTCTTCTTCTTCTTCTTCTTCTTCTTCTTCTTCTTCTTCTTCTTCTTCTTCTTCTTCTTCTTCTTCTTCTTCTTCTTCTTCTTCTTCTTCTTCTTCTTCTTCTTCTTCTTCTTCTTCTTCTTCTTCTTCTTCTTCTTCTTCTTCTTCTTCTTCTTCTTCTTCTTCTTCTTCTTCTTCTTCTTCTTCTTCTTCTTCTTCTTCTTCTTCTTCTTCTTCTTCTTCTTCTTCTTCTTCTTCTTCTTCTTCTTCTTCTTCTTCTTCTTCTTCTTCTTCTTCTTCTTCTTCTTCTTCTTCTTCTTCTTCTTCTTCTTCTTCTTCTTCTTCTTCTTCTTCTTCTTCTTCTTCTTCTTCTTCTTCTTCTTCTTCTTCTTCTTCTTCTTCTTCTTCTTCTTCTTCTTCTTCTTCTTCTTCTTCTTCTTCTTCTTCTTCTTCTTCTTCTTCTTCTTCTTCTTCTTCTTCTTCTTCTTCTTCTTCTTCTTCTTCTTCTTCTTCTTCTTCTTCTTCTTCTTCTTCTTCTTCTTCTTCTTCTTCTTCTTCTTCTTCTTCTTCTTCTTCTTCTTCTTCTTCTTCTTCTTCTTCTTCTTCTTCTTCTTCTTCTTCTTCTTCTTCTTCTTCTTCTTCTTCTTCTTCTTCTTCTTCTTCTTCTTCTTCTTCTTCTTCTTCTTCTTCTTCTTCTTCTTCTTCTTCTTCTTCTTCTTCTTCTTCTTCTTCTTCTTCTTCTTCTTCTTCTTCTTCTTCTTCTTCTTCTTCTTCTTCTTCTTCTTCTTCTTCTTCTTCTTCTTCTTCTTCTTCTTCTTCTTCTTCTTCTTCTTCTTCTTCTTCTTCTTCTTCTTCTTCTTCTTCTTCTTCTTCTTCTTCTTCTTCTTCTTCTTCTTCTTCTTCTTCTTCTTCTTCTTCTTCTTCTTCTTCTTCTTCTTCTTCTTCTTCTTCTTCTTCTTCTTCTTCTTCTTCTTCTTCTTCTTCTTCTTCTTCTTCTTCTTCTTCTTCTTCTTCTTCTTCTTCTTCTTCTTCTTCTTCTT